CAAGAAACATACATAGCAAGGAGAAACCAGCAAATCAGGAATAGCAAAGCATGTTTGGACTTATCAACAGAACATCAAGTGGTCTCAAGGTGAACTCCTCCTCAAGGAGGAACACTGGTTTAGGTGAAAATTCAGAGAATCCGCATATATGTTGTCCAAAAACGCATTTAGTCAAGGTAGCGTAGAGATACGCAACATATGACAACCTGTAATCAAGCGGAACAAGATCAACTCCCGCCAAACAGTCAGCTCCCGCTAAAACCGATGGAGCTGGAAGATGGAAGAAGGGATAGTTGAAATCACTCGAATGACCTATGAATAGTCAGATCTCGGAGTAGTCAGTTGTCACCCGAAGAGTATTGTGGATACTAACAATCGAAATGCCGTGGAGTAACTTGGCTTGAAATCTTTTGATTTTTAGTTTTCATTTCTTGTTAACAATTTCTAATTTTCATCTCTTGGTAATAGTTCGATTTTTTGATATTTTTATTGTATTTTATTCCATTGTAATTTCTTTTTTTTTGCTTTTTGTTATTTCTCAGCTAATCTTTTTAATTGTTTACAGATTCTCTCAGGTATTTCAAGTCAATGTATATCATATTAGACAATGGAAGTCCGAACTAATAAAATGCACCACGAAACATTGTCAACCACCTTCAAACAAACACAGAAAACAAAGTCTCTCTAAGTAGGTCAGCAGATGCTTATGCTCATAGGATGATCCACCCAAACCAGAGCCAAAAAGCACTGTTTGGCTGAATCTAACGTATCATCGGCAGAAGCTTACTCACCTTTGCCCTCATATGTGAAGCTTGTTGTGTTCATTGATGCTGAAATCTTGCACCTTCATCATCCGATAACCTCAATACCGATCAATTAGAATCTTTTCAGTATACTGCCACGGCTGCCGTAGAGACATTTCCAGAAAATGGTTCGATTTCAGAGTTGCTCGTTCCTGCCTGAATAGCTACAGATTTGAGAGGGTCAGGACAGCATCTCTCAGCTATTAGTTCCACTTACTGCCTTTAGAGTAGTAGTCATCTAACTCAACTCTGTTATGCAGAAAGATTCCACGGCCTTTTTCACGATTTCACCTTCCGCTTTTTTCACAAATTTTTGTAAAAGTATCATCCTTAGTAGAATTTTTTTCACAGTATCATCAACTTATGGAACTTGCGCATCAAGCAGGTCAGAAATGGATCTGAATTCAACTAGATTATTGGATGAGGTAGGTAAACAAAAACGTAACGATACCCTTCTCCCGTTCATATTTTTTGCGTTTCTATTCAGCAATCCTCTTATAACAAACAATTGCGGCCAGAAGTGGCCGCGATAGAAACGAGAGCCTGTCACAAACAGAGTTATGGATTTACTCAAAACCAGTCACATAGCCGATAATATCAATGATTGGGTAAATGTTCCGTTCCTGCCGTTCCTGCCGACATGCTAACTGCCAACTTCCTATCGGCATGGAAATCAACACGCTAAGGCACAAATGCTATTGATTTTAGTAAACTGCAGAATTTGAAATGGTTCCGCAGGAATAACACAATGCCTACAATATGAGGAGTGGAGTTCATATCGAACCGGACAAGGTGGAAGGTCGCACACACTAGTTGAATCGTTCGCCGAAGTTTGCGTTGTTTCAACTGTTGAATATTCGCTTCGAATGAAGTTGTAGGAATGGGCATGACTCTCTAAAAACTGCGGATTGTAATACCTAGACGGGTTTGTATAATCAAATCAAGATATGAACATGCAACTTGAGTCTAAGTTATTCCATTAATTGAAATTTTAATTTCGAACTTGCATCAGGAAACCATAGTTTTTGCACTTATTCAATATTTTCAATGGGAGCTCTATACTCTATAGTGAGGCAGCGCTTGTCACTATAGTGCAAGAATGCAAACATGCCAGTACATCACAGAAAGCAACATAGTCCTATCAAGCAAATGGCACCGCATCTCATCCACAAAGTTACTCAGATATTTCTACCCGCTATGCCTCTTTAGGATGCCGCTAAGGAGTCATTAAAATGTTGACTTGCGACAAAGAACTTCAAAAGAGGCGGCCGACGCTGTTTATCATATTGCGTTAAAAATAGTATTGATGGGCGTCAGACTGGGGGGAATAATATAAATTTTCCAATTATATATTCTGTGTGATGCGGAGATAATTGGAATATCGTGAAAACTTATTTTGTTTAAATATTTCATTTTGAGAAAGATAATTTATATTTCAAATCGTTATTTTTAACACCTCGACACGTGTTTCGATCACCAAGGGATCATCTTCAAAGAGGAAGATTAAAACTAGAAATTAATGCAAGCTAACCCTATGTATGCTATATAGGTAACCCATACAGGTAAACCATCCAGGCGTACCAACCTAAAAAACTTGTTTTTACAATTTTGCCTTATCTATTATTTTACAATATACGTTTATATAAAACAATTTTCAGCTATATAAAAATAAATTTCAGAATATTGCCTATCCTAATTAATTTTTGCAATGTGTCCTTATGTAGTAATCAGTATACTCAATAACATTATTTTATTATATTGCTCTTTGGTATAGGTCCGTCATCGTTATTCATAATATTATTGTGTTTACTTATTTCTACAATCTCCTAGGCATCTAGTTGCCTGTTGTTGTTAACTTGTCTAACTAATCTTAATGAACTGAAGGATTTGACGATATTGACGACTTTGTTTCCATTTTAAATAACAGATGTCCATTAATAAAATTCACGTATGAGTTAGAAAATAAGGGACAACTACCATTTCTTGACGTTTGGTAATGAGAAGCCAATATAGAGGGTTAGAATACGATATATTCAGAAAAGAAAGAAGCACGTACAGGTATATTCCTGACAGTTCACATCACTGTGGACAGCACAAACGTGCTGGGTTGAATTTTTCAGTGCATCGTCTTTTAACTTTCCCTCTAACATATGAGAGGTTCACAAAAGAAAAACGTACAATACATGAAATAGCAGCCACTAACAGTTTCTCGATGGGTATTGTACATGACATGATAAAGAAGAAGAAGTTTAGGTTAAGAATGAACGAAATCTCGACTTTCAGAAAGGACAAAAACCAAGATAAATACATCTCAGTTTCATACCACCAATATACGAGGAACTTTGGAAAGATTTTCAAGAAACTAGGTATGGAGGTGGTTTTTAAAACAAGTCATACACTACAGAGCCTTTTGGGAAGTCTAATTTGTCAGTAACTTGAATTTACAAAATTCTGCATATAAAAATAATTATATATCATCTGGTGACGTTTTAAAAACTATCCATTTTCTTTATCCAACCTATTTAAATCAAAACATTATAATTTGTTGTTATAATTCGTTTTTTGATGTGAATCAATTCGATATTTTTATCATTGACACTGATAATATCAAATTGATTGTAGGTTTAATAATGAAGATGGATAAAGATGAGTATACAAATAGAATAGGTTTTTGATGGTTTAAAAAGTAATGCAATTTGAAAAGTGGGTGCCCCACGTGTGATGAAAAGTGGATCCTCTACAACAGAAGACGTTCCGGACAGTGGTGGGACACCTATGAGGACTCAAGGGCAAATGCTCACCAAAAAATTCATGGTCAGTGTATGGTGGTCAGCGGCTGGTGTGATTCACTAAAACCATCACAACAGAGACCAAGCAGAAGCAACAGAAGCCGTCACTGGTCAACAGATGATATGACATGTTACAGTTTAAATTCTCTCAGAGTGGTTGTCTGTCTGTTATATCAAGGTCATTGTTCTACAAAGTTCGCAACTAAGTTTCTCGATTTCTCATCAACTTTAAATATCGCTCCGCATCAATCACCTACAATTAGCTGCCAAATTAGGTGAAATATTCTCATGAGTGGGACAAAGAAGTTCAACAATGATATTAAATATTTTGATTCGTGAACGGGAGCCTAGACCCATTCCAACATTTTAAAATGTGAATCAGTAGTAGAAGATTTCAGGCAGGGGCACAGTGTGTTTATTTAGTGAATGTGAAAATACGAGTTCTGGATTATTTTTCATTACTATTACCCACGATTGGGGATTGAATTGCCGTGTTCCATTTTTTTTACAACTAGTGTTGTGAGCTTAGTTGTTATTACCTCTTTTAAAGGGGATACAAAGCTGAATTCAGACTCTAAGGCCACCCTTCATCAAAGATATGGATAAAATAGTTGATAAAGTATTCTAGAGTTATAGTGTTTTCTCTATCCTCTATGACTTTTTCGTTTTATGCCGTTGGATAACGTAATAAAGGAACTTCTGAAATTCGAAAGCCTGACAGTTCCACTACTTCCTGGAAGTTAGGGGAGTGCAGTTTCAACTTCCCAGGTTGCAGCCAAAAAGGGAGAAAAGCTAACGAATCGGATGAGTACCACCAGTATTTCTTTGATTATTGTCTTTTTCTTCTGACACCCAATTTTGTCACCAGCCAAATTATTTGTAATTATTTTCAAGCTTGTTTATCTATATAAATAAATTAGACTTGTTTCAACCCCTAGTACGTACAGGGGCCTAGGTATTAGTATGTTAGAAAGTGAGTTTTGTAAAGTCACGTGATATAGACGTTCTTTCTCTCTCTCTTTCTCTCTCTCTCTCTCTCTCTCCAAAGAAAAGGTTGCATTAATTGAACTACTTAGGAAATTCGAACCACCCGTCTCCACTGAGCTAACCAGTGCTCTACCCTACGTCAAATACTGCCTTTCGGTAGAGCACTATAAAATTTTGATACGGTTTCACCCTTCAGAGTAACAACTGATAAAACTCTTACACAGTATATAAAGACTCCTTCTGAGCCAGGAAAAAGCCCGTAACAGACATTGTAGGGGTCAATTTCTACTTTAAGGGGATACATTCAGGAAAACCTCAAATTATGAGCAAATAGCTCACCCCCGGTCATCTAATTTACGGTTAAACTGTGACGTGGAGTGTAAATTTCAAATAAATCATTCGAAATATTTCATAAACTCACCTTCAGGGCCTCTTCGTGGGATATTCCGGTGAATGGCGTTCCATTTACTTCTAAGATCGAGTCCCCCGGCCGGAGTCCTGCTCGTTCGGCCACACTGCCTTCTTCGACTCTGGAAATATATACTCCCACACCTGAAATGGATTTTTGAGTATACCATTAAAGTAATGACCAGTCAAAGATAAGAAATAATTATTGGTTTGTGGTTTTACGCACAAAACGTTGGCAATATCTAACTCAGGTTTTCAGTAGATTTGACACTATATTCAAGGTTTGTCGATGAGGTTGTATGACTTCGGACAATAAAGTATATTTATTATTATTATCAAGAATAATAATTATAATTTCTGATGGCATAATCACAAAAGGACTGAAATGAAATTGAAGAAGGAGAAAAAATAAATACAGTTTCTCTACTTCTCAACATATATGTTGTCCAACAACTCATTTAGCCAAGCTAGCGTAGAGATACGTAACATATGAAAAGCTATAATCGAATCAAAAAGTATCTTGATAGTACTCTGATAAATTATAATAGGCTCTCTCACAAAAAAATCCTTCAAAACTTCCCTAAAGTTTACTTTATTGCATGCAAATTTCAGATTTGATGGTAGGTGATTGAACATTTTCATCACATTATAAATGAATGAGTCTTTAATGAAGGAATATTTTGGAATGTGCAAATTAAAGTCGTTTCTTTGTCGAGTGGCGTTTGTGTTCATTGAAAATCGATTTTGATGTTTTGCTGAAAATAGATATCACAGTGAGGATTTTCTTTTCCTTAAACAGTGGTCTGCAAGAATCTCGTGGTTTTGCTTAACATAGAAAACGTACAGCTCTTTTCTGTATAACTAAAATTGATTGCAGTGTTGTTAGAGTACAAGCACCCCAGGAAGGAATTCCATATCGTAGATGAGATTCTATGAGAGAGTGATATGTTACTTTGGAAGCAGCAAATCCCAACTCATAAGATGTCAGCTTCACAGCATAAGACCCTGAGGATAACTTTGATTTGAGACTCTTGATATGGTTTTCAAATTCCAAATCAGTGTCAATGAATAGTCCCAGAAATTTGGTTGATAGTTTATTCTCAACAGAGATGATGTCAATTTGTAAATTGCTGATGGAACATTTGAAGCAAAGTACGTTCGTTTTAGATATATTGAAACTGAGAAGATTTGCGTCACACCATCTTTTTATATTGCTAATATCATGATTTATTACTGTTTCAAGTTCAGAAGGATTTTGATCATGCCATAAAATTGTAGTGTCATCAGCGAATAGTGTGAACTCTCATTTAATATCAATAGATGTCAGATCATTTATATACAAAAGAAATAATAGTGGACGTAGGACTGAACCTTGTGAAACTCCACAGTTTATTTTTCCTTCCTCAGAATAATTAGTCGTTTTAACAATTTGACTACGCTCAGATAAATAAAATTCAAACCAATTGAGACTTACATCTCTTATACCATACTGTTGTAATTTCCATGACTAACACAACCAAACGCTTTCGATATGTCACAGAACACAGCAGCTGCAATCTCTCCATCATTTAATTTGTTATATAGACTGTACAATAATGAAAAAATGGCATCATGACTGTTTTTCGACTCTAGAATCCAAACTGACATTTGGTTAATATCTGGTTTCTCTCGGGAAAATCAACTGGTCTTCTCTTGACTAGTTTTTCTATAATCTTCGCAAGTGTTGTTATTAAAGAGATAGGTCGGAAGTTAGAAGAGATGCCAATATCTCCACCTTTATGGAGAGGAATAAGAATAGACGTTTTGAGAAAATTTGGAAAAACTCCTTCTTTATATGAGATATTTATTATGTCAACTGGTACTGATAAAGCATTGTCTGGTAGATTTTCGAAAATATTGAAGGAGATGTCGTCAATTCCTGAAGTGTGTTTATTTTTATCTCCCTAAAGACTCCTTTCAATTCTGAGAGGTTTGTGTCATATAGAATAAAATTATCTGCTATATCAATATCAATTGAATTATCAAGTGGATCATACGGAGTGTGACTATTTTTAGTTAATTTTTCTCCTATCATGCAAAAATAGTTATTGAAATCGGTGGATGATAATGGAGTGTCCAATTTTTGCTTTCTACCTTTTCCCCTGAGATCATTAAATATCTTTCATGTTTCTCTTGACTTATTGCTTGCTTTGTTTATTCTGTTAGTTTAATAAAGAGTTTTGACTAGTTTTGTGGTGTTTCTATACATTTTGCGGTAGCAGGTGAAATAATTTAAAAAATATGCGGATGATGTGAACTTTCTCATGTATTGTAAGCAACGAAAAGCGGAGATAGTGAAGAGGGGATAGGTGAATCACTCGAATGACCTATAAATAGTCAGATTTTGGAGGAACAAGTCCAGTTATCACCCGAAGACGATTGTGGATGCTAACAATCGATGCGTCGTACAGTAACTTGGTTTGGAATCTTTTAATTTTCATTTCTAGTTAATATTTTTTTCAATTTTCATCTCGTAGTAATAGTTGAATTTCTTTATTTTTTGGTTGTTGCTTGTATGCTATTTCATTATAATTTTAGTTTTTTTGCTTAATATAATTGGTATTTTTCAGCTTATATTTTTAATTTTCATTGATTCTTTCAGGGATTTCAAATCATTTTATATCACATTAGACAATGGAAGTCCGAACTGATGAAATGTCATATTTATTTTCGTGTATGGGTTTTCTTCAAACTTTCATATACCGGAGAATACTTAATTTGATCGGAATTAGCCCCTTGTGAATCAGTGCACTCTTTCCAACGTAACACAATTCGATTAATTCCGTCAGCATGAAAATTCGATGAAATCGAAGAAGGCAGTTTTTATCTGGTCCTGATCTACCGGTGAGAAAGTTATCAGATTGCTTGAAAAGATCGTATTCATTTGGCGCATCGTTTGTAATACGCCAGTCTCCACCAAGGTCCTCAAATCCTCGTCTTGTTCAACCACCTCGGGGCTCATCTTCGAGGCTAAAATCTCCAGAACGAAAATTTGTAAACCATCGTCGAACAATGCGATTATTAACACTCTCAATGCCAAATGCCTGGTTGATTTTTAAACCTTTTTTGGCAGCGATAAATGGCAAAAAATCGCTCAACGACGTCATAAAGTGAAGAGTTGGAAAGAAGCAAAAAAGTCAAATTTGGATAAAAATTAACAGCATCAATGTTTATGGTCAATGTTTATGGTCTATTTTCCACTATCGTGGAAAATAGACAAAAGTGTTTGTTTGAAGGTGGTTGACCTCAGACCAATCATTAGCTCCAGAGATTCAGCCACTCAGAACATGTCCAGGTTTTTACTATCAATAATTGCAAGGTAAAACATCTTCTTTTGTGAAAAATTCAAGACATTTCTGTGAACTACTAGGGGAAATTGAAGTCAAAGAGCAGGATCAACTGATCAGTTTCGGCGTGGAAAGCCTCTACACCAACGTTCCTGTCGAAGAAGCATTTCAAAGCATACAGAAGAAGCTATACGAGGATGGGGATCTGAAAGATAGAACAAACTTACCGGCACAAGTAATCATGGAATTACTAGGATGATGTTTACGAAACTACTACTTTCAACTGAAGGACGAATTCTTTACGCAAGATGAGGGACTGCCAATGGGATCGCCACNTCTATTCAGCAATCCTCTTATAACAAACAATTGCGGCCAGAAGTGGCCGCGATAGAAACGAGAGCCTGTCACAAACAGAGTTATGGATTTACTCAAAACCAGTCACATAGCCGATAATATCAATGATTGGGTAAATGTTCCGTTCCTGCCGTTCCTGCCGACATGCTAACTGCCAACTTCCTATCGGCATGGAAATCAACACGCTAAGGCACAAATGCTATTGATTTTAGTAAACTGCAGAATTTGAAATGGTTCCGCAGGAATAACACAATGCCTACAATATGAGGAGTGGAGTTCATATCGAACCGGACAAGGTGGAAGGTCGCACACACTAGTTGAATCGTTCGCCGAAGTTTGCGTTGTTTCAACTGTTGAATATTCGCTTCGAATGAAGTTGTAGGAATGGGCATGACTCTCTAAAAACTGCGGATTGTAATACCTAGACGGGTTTGTATAATCAAATCAAGATATGAACATGCAACTTGAGTCTAAGTTATTCCATTAATTGAAATTTTAATTTCGAACTTGCATCAGGAAACCATAGTTTTTGCACTTATTCAATATTTTCAATGGGAGCTCTATACTCTATAGTGAGGCAGCGCTTGTCACTATAGTGCAAGAATGCAAACATGCCAGTACATCACAGAAAGCAACATAGTCCTATCAAGCAAATGGCACCGCATCTCATCCACAAAGTTACTCAGATATTTCTACCCGCTATGCCTCTTTAGGATGCCGCTAAGGAGTCATTAAAATGTTGACTTGCGACAAAGAACTTCAAAAGAGGCGGCCGACGCTGTTTATCATATTGCGTTAAAAATAGTATTGATGAGCGTCAGACTGGGGGGAATAATATAAATTTTCCAATTATATATTCTGTGTGATGCGGAGATAATTGGAATATCGTGAAAACTTATTTTGTTTAAATATTTCATTTCGAGAAAGATAATTTATATTTCAAATCGTTATTTTTGACACCTCGACACGTGTTTCGATCACCAAGTGATCATCTTCAGAGAGGAAGATTAAAACTAGAAACTAATGCAAGCTAACCCTATGTATGCTATATAGGTAACCCATACATCGTATATTGGTGGTATGGAACTGAGATGTATTTATCTTGGTTTTTGTCCTTTCTGAAAGTCGAGATTTCGTTCATTCTCAACCTAATCTTCTTCTTTATTATGTCATCTACAATACCCCTCGAGAAACCGTTAGTGGCTGCAATTTCCTGTATTATGCGTTTTTCTTTTGTGAACCTATCATGTGTTAGAGGGAAAATCAAAAGACGATGCACTAAAAAATTCAACCCAGCACGTTTGTGCTGTCCACAGTGAAGTGAACTGTCAGGAATATACCTGTACGTGCTTGTTTCTTTTCTAAATATATCGTATTCTAACCCTCCATATTGGCTCTTCATTGCCAAAACGTCAAGAAATGGTAGTTGCCCCTTATTTTCTAACTCATACGTGAATTTTATTG